TTGTGTTGTTGCACACAGGCATTGCCCGGTCTTGTACCTTACACAAAACGCCCTGCCCTCGATAAGAGCGGTGTGCCTGTGTACCAGCCCAGTGCCACAGCATACCAGCAGGCCCTGGCTTTACAGATGCAACAGCCCTTCGTGCCTGTCTCGTGTGAGTAGTCGCCTGGGCACGCTGTTTTGTCCTGCTTCTGCCAAGCACTTAGTTACTTGTCAGGTGTCGCATGTATTTCGGCTTTTAATGTTGGCCCTCACCAGAAAAATGAGTGCCTATAACCGTACATTTTCATTTGCCTAAGACCCACTAAGTCATCTTTCACCTATCATGTTTGACATGCCATCTATCTTTTCCTCTGCCCTAGTGATGTAAGATGCTGTTCAGCTCATAATTATTATGAGATGCGACTGGAAGGAAAGACAGTAACTTAACTCGCACATCCTTCTCGTGAGGAGTGCGTTGATACTGCATAGTGCAAAATTCTACATATCAACTGCTGCTGCCTGGCTGCACTGCTTATCTTTGCACTGCTTTTGCATGTACTTCTAGCTTCCCCGCTGCTGTTTTATGCTAAATCACTATTGAAAACTAAGATTTTTCTTGTTCCAGAGTGTACTTGACTTGGGATTAGTTCTGTAATAATTTTCTCTTCTGCAACTAGTACTGCACATAACTCATGAGATGTTCTTTATAGGTACACCTAAAGTACCATTTGTGCTGCATGTAGAAAGGTAGTTTTTAGATTGGCAGAAGTACTATCTGTGTGATGTGTGTATTCAGTAAAAGCTCGTTAATTTGAACTTACAGTTAATTGGGAACTGACATACTGATCACTGCACAGCCCTGTGTATTTCTCAAGGAGCGAGCCCCCCAATAATTAGCATGTCTCGGCATCCACATCGGTAAATTTGAACTGGGAGCCTTTCATTTTTATCACTCTTCGAAGAAGTTGGTCCAGAGTGATCACAATATGTTGCAAACTCAACCAAACTTAATTTTCTAGAAACATAGAACAATGAAACAGCAGCATTTCTCAGTAGGTTAGTATTTGGGTGCTGCACTGGAGCTCTTGGGTAAGCTACAAGTGATGCTCATCAAATTGTTACAGAAAGACTGAAAGTAAATGCAAATGACTGATTACCTTTAATTTTGATTGTAATAACAGTAAGTAAACATGTTTTGATGCATAAATGGTGACAATGATTCACATTAAAGCACACTGCTCACATGAATGCATGTCGGTGTTTGTTGTCTGTGTATCAACGACTGATCAATTAGTTCTGTTCACTGTTAGAGCTCCATCAACTCAGTTTACATAATCACCTGCCACAAACTTGTAGTTGCATCGAGCTCACAATAACGAGTCCAGAGGTGGTTTCTCTGGATTCTGCCCGCTCAATTTGGTGTGATGTCCACTAATTCAAGTTCTATCTAATATTAACAATTTTCTACTCCCTTTTATTTAAATTGACGAGCTTTTACTGTGGATATATATATATATATATATATATATATATATATATATATATATTATGAAAGCATGTTTAGTTGCACATAGCACCATTAGTTCAAGTTTTGCACATTTAATAAAGAACGAATGTGCTTGCCGATCAGTTTTTTTGGATCGGTATTCAAAAGCCTGAGCAGTGCTTACATGAAAAATCGTCGACATTAAAGTGTCAACTCGTTTTTGCTTCCTCCATGTGGTGCCAAGGAACACACCCGCACACTGTTGGCTGTAAATGCATGGCTCTAACTGCACCCGCTCGTCTCTCTCTCTTTCTTTCTCTCTCTCTTACCCTCTGCTCCCCTGTCTCACCATCACTGCACCACCACCACCACCACCACTACCACTGGTCCCCTCCCAGTACCCACGATGCCCTCTGTCACTCTGGTATCTGCTGGTGTGGCTGCTGCTGCCCCTAACGCTGCTAGTGTTGCGTACTGTGACGACAATGGTCAGGTACTGACAGCCTTTCTTGGGCAATCATACTGGACCACATAGTAGGGACACCTTGTTCTTGAGTCACTTTGCATGTGCCCACATTAATGTGCTCACACTTATCCTTTATCCTTTTTAAACCTATGGTCTCTCACATTCATGTGCTGCATGCCACAAAGTATGTAATGCAAGCAATTGAAATACCTGCTACGTTGGATAGAGAAGCACCTAAAGAATTTGTTACAATAAATAGGATGTGAAGCACTCCGATATTATGGGATGACCTAAGTGTGTCCCCGTCTCACTTTGTGCATTAGTCTATAACTTTAGTCTATAAATTGTCGCCCCGCCGCGGTGGTCTAGTAGCTAAGGTACTCGGCTGCTGACCCGCAGGTCGCGGGTTCGAATCCCGGCTGCGGCGGCTGCATTTCCGATGGAGGCAGAAATGTTGTAGGCCCGTGTGCTCAGATTTGGGTGCACGTTAAAGAACACCAGGTGGTCGAAATTTCCGGAGCCCTCCACTACGGCGTCTCTCATAATCATATGGTGGTTCTGGGACGTTAAACCCCACATATCAAATATAAATTGTCAGCTTCTCGCTCACATAGTAATAATGACAAATGGGCTGCTCAAAAAAGATGTTCTGTGCTGCTCGTACAGGATTTTCACGTGTGTTAATTCCTATGAACTCATTGAGCTGTTTTGATCCTCATGCTCATGGATAAGTGCTGTGTTGTGATAAAGCTAAATTTCAGACAAAAATGTGCTTGAACTTTATTACTAGGTCTTTTAAATCCAGCGTCAACTGACCTGCTGCATCATAGCTTTATGAAGGAACTGACACAGTGCTGACACTCTTGTCTTGAGCCTGTGGCACACCATATGGCTAACTGGCTACGAAAACCTGCAGAAATGCTGGAAAAACAAATGGCATGCATCGCAGCTTTAGAGTCATCAGCCATTATTTTGCTAAATGCATGCTAGATGGCACCACATTACTATTGTACAGTCAAACCTTGTTATAGCGAAGTAGCATTGGTTATACTACTGTATCCAGTATTTGTTGTTACTGTGTAAATCAAAATCAGGTCAAAGAAATATGCATTCTGGTTCTCAAGAAGTACTAAATAATACAAAAATGCACAATTTTTAGGTTTCAAATCCCCTATAAATGAGGTAATCCTTGGCTGTCTTTTTGCGGCATTTAAAACTTCGGTTCATGCGGTGGTGCAGCAAGTAAAATTTCTGCGTGTTTTTTTTTTGCTTTTTTGTTTTGGCATTTGACCCACATTTCAGAAACTTTTCACGATTACAAAAGAAGTGGTTGTGAATTGTCCATCAACATTTATTTGGCTCTTTATGCTATCTTTCAACTTACGAGCTTTGCTCATACGAAGGCTGTATCAGCTGTAAATAAGAATATTTTTTCATTACAGCCAGTATTGCGGCGGCTCTGGCATTTTTGTTATCATTGTACGAAGAATGATTGTCACTCGAATGAAGCATGACCAGTCAAAACTCGACACTAACTCGCCCAACTTTTTATTTTACTCAACCAAACATCATATTTTGTTTGCTATAACTGATAATTTGCATATAAGTGTTCATCAAAACGAGGGTAAACTGTACCAAGAACAGGAATGCTTTTTGAGGTGTTACTGAATTGAAAGAGGAGGTTTAGGTTAAACAGGATTGGAAGATCGCACTTTTTAAAACTCCAAGTGCTTATTCAGCTGTCAGTAAAGGTATGGGGGGCAACACAGAAAGAAGAAGAAAAAAAAAAAGCCCAGGGGTGGCACCATCTTGAATTTTCTGCAGCAGCCTTCTGTGGTGTCTTGGTCGTAGCTTCTGGTAAGAAAGGAGTTCATTGAGAGGTAACGGAGTTTTAACAGAGTAAATTCTTGTATTCTGTACTGAAATTTCGAACGTTCAAACTGGGTTGTGCATCAGCGGGAGTGCTTTGGTGTGCATACTTAGTGTTTTAATTCATCTATAGTTTTTAAATATTGCATATAACAAAAATCTACTCATTCAGTCACGAACTCTAAAATCATAATGCAATGTAAAATAAATGATAACTTTGCTTAATTAACTTTTTACCAAATTACTTAAGTGCATGGACCACATTAAATTAGCCCTAAACTCTTGATGGATGGATATGTGGGGTTTAACGTCCCAAAACCACCATATGATTACGAGAGATTCCGTAGTGGAGGGCTCCGGAAATTTCGACCGCCTGGGGTTCTTTAACGTGCGCCCAAATCTGAGCACACGGGTCTACAACATTTCCGCCTCCACCGGAAATGCAGCCGCCGCAGCCGGGATTCGATCCTGCGACCTGCGGGTCAGCAACAGAGTACCTTAGCCACTAGACCACCGTGGCGGGACTAGCACTAAACTCTGATGCATAGCATAAGAACATACAAGGTCTATTTTTGCTGTGCGTTGCCTGCTTTTTCCACATATTTCATGGGTGAGCTTGTGTTCCCATTCAATGATAACATAATCAATAAACTGTCTAGGGCCATATCTTTATGCTACTACAGAAAGCTGAGGAATATTTTTAAAGGTTGGTAAGAACTGAAGACCTGGATACAAATGAAATGAAAATGGTAGTGAGAATAGTTGTCATTTGTTTTGTCTGATTTGTATCTTTTATGCCTGTTGTTGGGAATGTGAATATTTGAATAATGTGGTAGTTGCATAGTTGTCATGATAACAAATTTAAATAATGCACAGTAGAGAACTTTCCACATAACCCTTAAAGGCATGTCAAGTGTTTAATTTTTCTTACCTGCAGTCGTAATTGACACGTGCTGCCCAGTTGATGGAATAATGTGGTCATTCGTTTCTACTGCCTGCAGTTCACTGTGCATTAATACTAGCAATTTTACTCTTATGCTTCAAAACCAATTTGCATGCCCAAAGTTTCTCTACACTACTGTTGCTGGAGCTCACGAAGTCCTAATACTTCACCGCATGGCAAAAAAACATATTTACTGATGTGTTGCTTTGTGTTAAGTCTGACCAAACCGTCTTTTTGTGCTTGTGTTCTTCCAGTTACTGGACACCCTGCCGGTGTGCCGAGATTTTAAGTCAGGGCAGTGCAAGAGGCCCCAGTGTCGATATGTGCACCTTGTTGAAGGTGAGCCTTTCAAACAACTGCAGTAGGGTTTGCTTAGTCATTTTGAATCTATTAAATTAGTTATGTACTAATAGTAGCTTGCTGTATGTGGAGGTAAGATCTGCTAGTGTTAAAATTTGATGCCAGTCCTCTTGAGTTTCAAACGCCTAAACATTTAGTCTACAGCTCTGTCAAATAATTTCCTGTGTAAATTAACTTAAGTGCCCTGTATCAGTGTAGCTATGGGCAATGTGTTGTTACCCCCCTTTTTAGCAATGCTTTTCTTCTGTGTTCACTGGAGATCAGTAGCCTTTGGGGCTAAGCTGATTGCAATAGGAAAACAAAAGGAACAAGTGGATCAACAAAGGTTCCCTATAGACAGAAGCAGTAATGTTGAATTCCTGTATCTTTTCCAGAGTTTGTCGAGGTGGTAGAAGGGAAAGTGACAGTGTGCCGCGACGCTGCCAAGGGCCGCTGTGCACGACCTCTGTGCAAGTACTACCATGTGCCGGCGCTGTCCCTGAGCCCGCTCTGACAGCGCCCCCCTAGTCAGGCTTGGGGGCCCCCCTGGTTGCTCGAGGCGCTGTGTTGACAAGACTACTCTTAAACCCAGGGGAAGAATGTGGCACACGTGCCAGTTTGCAAAGTATTTGTTTTGTCAAGTTTCTTTTTCCTTTGTTTGTTGTTTTCCAGATTATTGACATACACACCACCACCACCACCATGAACATACACATTTATAAATATATATATATATTATATATCTATATTTTTTGTAATATCTGTAAAGTGTTTAGTGTTTTGTTTTGAGACAAACTTTTAACAAAGGCCAGTTTTCAATCGTGCTTTTAAAGTATACTATGAATTAAACAAATTTTTTAATGAATTGTTACAGCACCTATTTGAACCCTTAGTGCAGACAATTTATGAGACATTTTAACTATGTATTTTTAATTGTGGGCGAATATTTGACCATATAGGCCACCTCAAGATTATGTGCTTAACAAATCTTGTTGTGTAAATACAAGTAATTACTAAGCAGGATGCTTTTTTTTTTCATTGTAGTTTTAGTGATCATGTCTGAACAGGCTACTGCTGTGTATAGCCTAAAATTTTTATCACTGGTTCTGTAATAACTAGGATGAACAGTACTGTCGTTATTGTGAAGTTTTGTTGTTTGTGACTGACATGCCAAGACCAAAGTCTTTACAAGCTTGAAACAAGGAAGGGGTGGACAAACCCACACCTATGCAAATATAACTCAGAAATTCACTGTCTCTGCAGTATCAAGGAAGGGGAAGCTTGTTCGAGCAAAATTTGGTATATGTGCTGCTTTTCTTGTTAGACTTGGTTGCTGTCTGTTCTGACTACCTTCAGAAAGATCTTGTGCTTTTTTTTTTCACTCTTTTTTGTTAGCAGCATGGCGAACACTGTTTTCATAGGGGAAGTGGTCTTTCTGAATGCAGCTGTGGCCTTTAACCACTTTGCAAAGAAAAAAAAAAAATCTAGGAGACTACAATATGAAAGGAGGACACCATGTTGAATTCAAGCATCCTTTTTCACCCGTAGCTGGCCTCAAGAGAATGAATTTCGTCTCTGATCAAACACACTCCATTTTGAACAAATTTTCTCTTTTTTCTCTCAACATGCGGCCACAAGGCCTGCTTTCCCGAGCAGGCCTTGGTTGTGACTTAAATGCCATTACTTAGACTGATGCCTCCAGCCTTTTTGCCCATGGGGATGGTGCTAATTCAAGGGTAGTGCTTCATGTCATGGCTCGAGACCATGCTAAGCAACAGGCCTGGCCATTGCCCACAAGGTCACACAAGCAGTAACACCAGAAAAGCTGTGCTATACTATAGACAGGGTGGGATCGGTCCTTGTTATGTGGGGGTCTTCTCATCACACTGCTTGTGTACATAGGCGTATATCCTGTTCACTGTTCATTTTCGTCTTGGTAGCAAGGAAACTTCATTTTCTTGATATATAGCATATGCATGCGAGCAAAAGAGATATTGTGTACACCTATATTTTTATGCAAACACACACACATTACTGTTCTGTGCCATATTGTTTTCTTTTGTAACAGGTTTATATGATTGCAAGTGTACTCTTTATCATATCATTGTTCTCAGTTTTTATAAAGTACGTGTTTTCCTTAAATTTTAGAGTTGTTTCAGATGCTCTTGTGAAGTCTGTGAGGTTACTGCTGTCACAGGGAAGGGAGAGTTGTTTATTTACGTTTCCATGCCCCGCATGAGTGCACTTATTTTTCTGGGCGCCCAAAGAGCAGCAGCAGCAAACATAATGGCAGGATTCCATCCTTTATTCAGTCCAGCTGTCCATGGCTGCATTTTGCCTGGCGTGAAAGGGAAGCTCGAAATGGGACCAAGTTTTGTCCTAGCCTGATGCAACCTGATTTGGCCGAGGAACAGGGTCGTCCCAGTGTGGCACCTATTTAGGGGAAAAACAGTCGTCCATTCTTCCTGGGAATCAAAACGTCCAAATCAAAAGCCTCACCAGTAGTGTGTGTGGCATCGTTTGATCCACTTTTGGCCCCTCGCGTCCACAGGATTTGAGGCTACTTGAGCCAGTCACAGTAGTCTCGAATATGTCAGCGGACGAGTCCAGATCCAAGTATAAGAAATGGAAAAACCGAGCAACATCAGTGAAACAGTGCCTTTTTTTGTAATATGCAGGAGTCTTTGTCATTGCTATGCCTGGCTAACCCCCGTTGTTGCAGATTTCCTTTACTACACAGTAGCAGGCTTTATTGAGTTCTCCTTCTTTGGGTATATCTATGTGTGCACGTCTGGCTTGCGTGTTTTGTCCCAGAGCCTGTTTGAAGAAGTGAGCAGGCGGTGGTTTGGCTGTTGGGCTCGTGGGCCAGCAGTGAGGAAAGCTCTTCATATACCTGTACAGCCTCTTTGCTATAATGTGGCTGTCGGTGCTGTTTTGCTGGCTCAGAGGACTTCCTCGTCTCGGGCTGTTGTTGTACTTTTGTGGAATGGTGTTCAAGAGGTCGCACTTTGGACGTGGGAGGCCACACGTAGGCTAGTGCCCTCCAACACGTGTGCAGGCTTCATCACCTGGAAGGGCTGTCTAGTCGGGGCATGGTCTGCACTTTCCTTCATGATGCCCCTTGTCAGAGGCACACAACTTTCCTCTAACTTTATTAGTTAAGTGTAAAAAAAAAAGAATGTGATATCTTTTTATATATATATTATATATATATATTATATATATATTATATCGACATATATGAGAGAAAGAGAGAAAAGAAGATGCAGTTACCGCATAGCAATTTGTCCTCTACAAATTCAGCATGCCGCCGCCGCAGCAGCAGCAGCAGCCTTCAGAAATGTTTCCTTGGTGCTTTGCCTCGGCAGGTCGTTAAGGAAGTGCTTGCGCCCCGTGCGCTTTTTTGCTTGATGAGTGAATGTGTCCTCTGATGCTGATGAATGTCCACTTTGTTGCAAGAGCAGGCTGGGATGAGCCAGCAGCCAGACGCTTGCCTCTCTGCTTTGGGCAGCCACAACGAAGTTGGCCGAGGGCGTACCGTCCTCCTTTTTTCTGATCCCTTGTGCTTCAGTGTAGTTTGCTGTTTTTCTCATAGACAAATAAAGTTGCCTTTGTAATTGAGCTCTGCTCCTGTTGCGTTGTGTTGTTGCAGCCTGTGTGTCTGCGATGCTTCTCTCTGCCTGAATGTTGTGTGTTATGAACAAAGTAGCCTCAATATTTTTATTCCATAACTTTTCACTAGCTGCCTATAACTAGGGCTCTGTGTTCTTGGATTTTATTTTTCTAGAAATTCAAAGGATGTTTTTTGAAGTTAAATTTTTTTCTGGCAGGAATTTGTCATCTAGTGGAGTTGTCATCTAGTAAATTCTCAGTTCTCTGAAATACAGTTTAAAGTTGAATTATTAAGTAAATTTAAGTTTAAATTGTACAAATCTCAATTATATGAATATTCAGTATCTTAAATGAAATAATATATTGAAGGATGAAAACACAACAACATACTGAACATATTTTAGTTATTTGGAAGGCTTCACTGCGCATACACACATCTAAACCCAAGTGCAAGTACTTCAATACAAATACCCGCATATTAATGCATATTACAACCTCCAAACTTCTCATAGATGCAAGCGTACTTTACGAGGTCTGTATATTTGTTAAATAGCATGCCCCAGTGCCACCAGGGGACGTATCAAGATGTCATCTCGCACTCCTGGTGGCCTTGCATACATTGACTTATCTCCCTTCATGCGGGACGAGCTCCTTGTTTAAAGAGACTGACAACAGATTTTTTTCAACCCAGTTTCTTCCAGCGCGACTGAAGGCTTACCCTTCACAGTGTTTGCAGCTGTAGCAGTTACTCCGAAAAGCAGATAGTTATTTTATAAGCAGTATTTTTTTATTTGAAAGGCTCTGAACACCAATGTGCCTTTTTCTCCAGCAACGCTAAGAATTGATAGCGATGCCGTCAGCCCTTCTAGCGACTTAAGCATGCTGTCATTGTTCTGCAACGGCCGTGGTTCTGCTTTCACAGGAGTTCCTGTAACTAAGCTTCACTACATTTATTTTAAGCTTTACAGCTATTTTTTAACATAACAAGCCGTTACAATGAGACTATGTGGCTTCATACAGCTTCCCTGTATTTGTACCGCACTGCGTGCGCCTGCGCCCATGGTTGATCCCCCTGTGATGTGGATGGCTTGTCTTATCGTCGTTACTTTCTCGACGCACGAGCCAAATCAAGTAACCAAAAACATCACTGCGCGTATTTTCCGAAACAAAATGTGGGTAAAAAAAAACGCGTGACTTTAAAGTCTTAGCTACCTGGAAACTGCGTGCACGGTTTCATGAGCCCGTAGTAGAGTTGCTCAAGATGTGCTGACGAGCACGGAATCATTACGTTATGAAAAGGCAACGCCACTTTATTACACACTAATAACGCAGGCCTATAAGTAAAGTACATTTTTATGGAGTAATATCATTTACTTTAACGAAGCAAACAATATACTATTAAGTTAAATTGTTCACCGCGTACACTAGTTTACAGTCACGTGACAGAGCAGCTCAGGTCACTGAAACCTGTTCCTGAAATTTTATAAAATGTATAATTTTGTCCGACTGAAATAAACTTTGAACTCGTTAGGTTTTTTAAAAGCATAGTAATTGCTAGTGCTTGCAACTAAGCTGAGTGCTTGCAATTATTGTACTCTGATATGTTACAGAGAAGTTGCAGCACGAGCCATACTTAATTGCAATGCTGCATGCATAACCAGGAAAATTGATGGGATAGTTCTGTGTAAATTGTATCAGTCTAAATGGTGGTTAGCAAATTTAGAAATGCACAAATAGATTTTTGCTACCTTTAAGCTTGTGAATGGATGAAGCAACACTAGTAATTGCTGTCTGTCACTTTCTCAGGTGTCAGCATAGGACACAGCGTCCACATTATCCAACAATGTGCCAAGCACTTAGTCAGATGAATGATAGAATGTACTTGTGATCAAAATATCAGTCAATGCCTGCTGGTGGGGCCTTTGCCAAAGCGTGACTCACGGGGTACATGTCCCCTTTGAAACTAGTACAAATGGTGCTTTGCAACACTTGCCTGCCCAGCACCCACTTCACAATCAAGGCTGTTTGAACTCCAATAGAAAATTCTTGGCTACACTAGCTGCATAGCTGATGATATTTTCTAAGGAGAGGAAATTAATACGTGGCAGTTTTTGACACAACATTGGGTATTCCCTGCAGCATGCATGCAATAATATTTCGTTCTCATGAGCCTTGTTTACAGATAGGCCACTTTCTGAAAGAGGAAGATCGCCCAAAGAACTGTGCACACTTAGCTTTATACTTGGGTTATGCAATAAATGTGGGTTCAACAATAAAAATACCGTTGGTTGTTTAGCAGCGTTACTTTTTCGAATACACTGTATATGGTGAATGTATTGGTGTGGCATTTTGTACTTTATTCTTGCACCAAACTGAACAGAAAAAAACATTTGAAGCTCAATTTAACAAAGTAATGACTGTGCTCAAATTATTTCATTAAATCTGAAGTTCAGAGATTCAAGAATGGAATTTTTTGGTCGATCAATATTCAAAATGGTAACATTGAAAGGCTACCACGACGTATTTGCCGCCAGTTCACTTCTGTACACATGAAATATCCACTAAAGCAGACCGGACGTAGAGGCTCCTATACATTCCCTTTACATGGAGCCTCCCATGTCTGGGCAACAGAGTCCAAGTAGGCAATCACCACAGGCATAGCCAAGGGGGTTCAGGTGACTCAACCTCCCTCCCTCTTCCTCCCATCAAAAATTTTCATTTTTGCTTGTGCGTGCGCACACACACACACACACACACACACACACATATATATATATATATATATATATATGCACACATGCACATACACTTGGAACATACACAAATTAGAGTTGACCCCCCACCCTCCCCCATGAAAAAAATTTCTGGCAATGCTGCTGACAGCTATGTTAAGCTATATGCAGGCTATATGCTCCTGATATGCACAGACTGGGAGAATGAATGCAGTGATTGCACGAGAACACGGAGCAAGAAAAATATTGGAAGACGATCAGTGCCATGTTTCGCATAATCCACCATATTGTGGAAGCATATATAGATTCAGTATGTCATTGTAGAGTTACTGCATAGGGTTGCATATAGAGGACACCGTGTGACAGCATACTCAGTTAAACCGAGTCGCTGTAGAGTCGGTGGAAGAAAATTTAAAATTTTTTCCAGTGACTGCTTCTCCTAGTGCCATTTGGTATGTAAGAGCACAACCTACTGTTGAGTTCGTTGTTCTGTGCGTTACAGTGGCTAAATATAGAAAGTATGAAGACTGTGCCACCTACACTGATGCCCTCTATAGGTACCTTGAACGGCACTGTACAGATGGCGCTGGTCGTAGCCTACACATAAAGTTACTTCGTATGGCTCCTTTAGGAGCCATATTCAGTAGCTTGAGTAGTGCAACGTTTTTATTTGGCTAGTGTTACTTGGAAGCTGCACTGATGAAAGAAACAAAAACAGGAAAAAGTGTGACAACCAGAGGGGCTTTTTTGACAGGCATGATTTATTAGGGAGGCATAGTTTTAACAAATTTACAGTTCAGCTTTTCTTTTGACGTCATATGACATTTTCATACATATGCTTATAATATTCCATGCAAACATGTGGGTAAAAACATGTCTTACGAACAAATGGGGGGACAGTTTTCTTGAGGGCAGTGGCCCTAAAAAGCTTACGCATGAAAATTGGCAATGAGGCCTGGGTTAAAGCTTCCTACAGGATTCAGTGCTTGCATTCAGCCCCTTCTTGGTTTTCTCTACGTCCATCAGTTGATACCTTGCCAAGTCAGCCAATATCAAAGAAAGTGTAACAGTAAAGAGGCACAATACGTAATTGCAAACTGGGTTCACATGGGAGATATGTTGTGTTTACACAAGGGTTCTAATGTGATTTGTAATGTGTGTTGATTTAGGTCTTGCGCTCTTTTCATCCCAAAAGAGGAATGAGAAAACTGTGCACATATACTCAAAGTTTTCACCCCAAACTTGTAGATATTTTTTTTATGAATACAATAGTACCATTCTTTCAATTCAGCAGCATTTCTTTATTTTGAATTATGTGAAATAATAGTCTAAAGGGTTTACTAGATGGCTTCACTCCTATTCATTCACCGAATCATTACTTCAGAGTTTTCAGGCGAGGGCATATCATTTGCTGTTTTTAAGTAGAACTCTACAGGCCTGTGTTTTCTGGAGAGTAGTCATCAAAATACTTGTTTTCTGTGTGCCTCATTGCCTTGCAAAAGGCAGGCAACCGTGTAATGCGTGGCAGGGGTGGCAGGTCATTTTTTTCTAATTAAATGTATATAAGGAGAGATTAGTGCCAATGCGTGGCGCCAGCTACTCCTCTTCTCTTGCACAAAAGTCGACATCGCACATTTTGTAGCAAACACAAGGCTATACATATGTACGTAGCACAACACACGTCGACATCGCACATTTTGTAGCAAACACAAGGCTACACATACGTACATAGCACAACACATACACAATGAGTGCACATTTTTCAACATTGAGTGTCCACACCGCACAGAAATGTGTCCACACTACATAGAAATGTGTCTGCACCACACTGAGTTTGTAAAAACACAAGTAATCACGCCAATTTAAATGTTCACACAAAACGTGAAAGTTCAATAAAATGTCTAAAGTGATCTTGTTGCTTAAATACTGAACTGTTTTGAGCAAGGTTTTCCCAAAAATATTGTAGTAAAACACGAAAATACTGTTTTGAATATACCTCGGTTAACAATGAAGTACATTTGTTTTTTGTTTAGTACTTTTGAGCTATTTCCGATTCCTCCAGAAAGTGAACGACTGCACGCGCTGCAGTGGCTTGTAGCTTTCTTTTTGCCCATGGACCCAATATTTTTTGCAATTGATGAAGGTCGCTTATCCAAAGAATTGAGTTTTTGAAAAAGGTTCTTTTTAGGTACGTCATGATTTTTACAATGCAAAAGAATGTGCTCCACGTCTTCTTGAGTTTCTCCACATGAGCAGGTAGGACTGCCAGCTTTCCTT